GTCAATAAATTCAGTTACATTTGTCTCGTGCAATATTAAATCAGTTTACCAATTGATAAGAAACTGCAGAGATTTCTAACCAAATAAAAGAGAATTCTCAGGAGTCAATAGTATTTTTTTTCTTCTTGTGGAAATCAATAATTACTATGGCAACCATATATGTTACCATCAATATCCCTTTTATACAGTGCTGTGTATAATTCCTCTCTCCATGGTGTTTTGATTACTCACAGCAGATGGCTCTTCCCATCATTACTTCAGTAAAGTACTCACACTTTACCCAAGATGAGTGTTAGATAAATTGACCATAGAATAAATAAGCCTTGCTGTCGCTGACATTTAATGTATATTGCAGCTGACATGTTCTCTCAGTATTTTTTTTTTGGGCCACTGCAGATTAGCAGTTTATTTCTTTAATTTACCAGGCAACATCTTTGAGTGGCTTGTCTGTAGATGTTATCACCCTTCATGAACATTGTCTATTCTCTGATAGTTTTGAAGTGAATTGTAGCTCTCCCTGGCAGATTGTTATCCTTGCAAGTAAATACTACAGTTATAAAACTTATTGCACATGTACTGTTCTGTGCTTTTGCATTGTTTTCTCTTGCTATTCACTTGAGATAAATTTCTGTAAAGTATCTTCTGAAAATATATAAACTTAACCAAGGGAGGTATAAATTTTGTTATTTATTGAACTACCTTTAGTTAATTATGACAAATGTTATTATAGTAAAGTATGATTCCTTATATCATGCAAGTTGGGCATAAATTCCAGGCTAAAAATTCTCAAAAACCTACTTGACTGTCTTCAAGTTAGTGTATTACAATTGAAATGTATATTTTCCCACAGTTTCAGGTTGTGGCATTAAAAGCAGTTTTTGCCAAATTACAATTGTGCGCACTGATGTGCAATGCATTATGGGAAAGAAATTCCCATTGTATATAATGGAAAATGAATTATCACAATGTAACTCAGGAAATTTTTAAAATGTTTGAACAATATTAAAATTCATGTGTAGTAATAATAACAATGAGTTTTTCACCCTGTGTAAACTGAGTAAAGAAATAATTTTAACTATAGAACGAAATGCAGATTTTGACCATTTGCTATGTCATGTCAGATTCTTGTCTTGAAAATTGTACAGGGAACCCACATTTTCTTTTGAATCTTTGATACCCTGATGGCACAAACCTATAAATAATGACCCCTTCAAGAAGATGACATACAATTGTTTATTTTGTGCATACCTATTTGTCAGAAATGTTTTATTGATAAACTTGAAGTCTGAACAATTGATAATAATTGACAAATTAATAATTGTATTTTGTATACCGTAATCATTAATTTAATTGTTATTGAAACATTCCAACATTGATTTCTTTCTATTGACTCAGCAATAAATGTCATAACTACATTTGGTAATATAGTTCACCGGTACTAGTAAAATAAACTCTGGATGAGCAGAATGTCTGTAACTAGATTTTCCTTATTGTATGAAACCTGAGGCGATGTTGTTATCATTCAGTACCGAGAAGGAACAACTACAATCTACATCCATTTGCACAAATTGTATATTCAAGCCCTGTAGTATCAAAAGGTGTACATTATGCAATCATTTGTTAGTGTAATGGCTGTATTTCAGAATTTTATTTCACTGCATATGTCATTCATTTCGTATGTTGTCAGTTTCTAGACAAAATCCTAATGAAGAAA